AAGAGGAAGAACATCAAGGCTCGTATTTTCCAAGGCAGCAGAGCATCAGCCAAATCCACCTAAGATAGAAGGGTTGTTGCATAGTGAAAAGATGTTCGGGTCAAGGGTATAACCGATGGTATATTAATGGCAAACAGGTTTCTCTACATTTGTTGTTGTTTTCTAAATGTTTATTTATTTATTTTGGGAGGGAGGAGGGGCAGAGGGAGAGGGAGAGAATCCCAAGCAGGCTCCATGCTTAGTTGGAGCAGAACCGAGGCTCGATCCCACGACCCTGAGATCATGACCTGGACTGACATCAAGAGTAAGACGCTTGGCCGACTGAGCCACCCAGGTGCCCCAGGTTTCTCTACACTTGAATCCTGACCATGACTTAGATACGTTTTGGGTACTTGCCACACTGGGTGCTAATGTGCCGTGCATGGTCCCGGGCATCCCTGGGTTACTCTGAGAACATTCCACAGTGGGTATTTAACCCCCTAAGGTGGCTCAGATGGGGCAAGGCCCTCAAAGAGGCTTACTTCATGACTTCTTTTCCTGACATGATTCCAGGAAATAGAAGGCATTTTAAGAGTTCTCTAGAAGAGGCTGGTGAAAATACTTCAAAATTCTGGCTGGCTCAGCCCGCTGACCCTTATTAAATACTCATAGTTACTACTGGTATATCATAAAGGGTAGACGGACAGACGGACAGACTCTATCTTTCCAATACCGGCATTTAATCGCTTTACTGAGCTGGCACTGAGTGTTCAATGGTGACTCATCATAGTACCAAGCACTATGGTCTTGAAGGCGTGTGTATGTTGGGAGAGTGGGGGTAGGAGTTACTAGCAAGGAAGTACGCTCACAGCTCAGCTGGCAAGTTTTGTCCAGCACACTGACTACAGTCACCAAGTAACCTACATCTATGTCCATGGCGGGGTGGACATCAAGTTCTTTCCTGAGTTCTGCAGGCAAGAGAGGTGCTTGCTACCCAGGGACCAAGCTGGTAACATTTGCCTTTAGGGCTCTTTCAACATCCCCTTCTCTTTTGCTGCTTTTGGCTGAATCAGAGCCCCCCCCCACAGTGTTTCCTAGAATTCCTGGGTCCCCAGAATTAACCCATGTCACCTCAATAGCAGAGCTCAGAGAAGTGTGGGGCTGAGGAGCCCTGAGGACAAAAGGTATAAGCATACTAAGCTAGTAGATCAGAAAATCCACTCAGGGAATGTTACTTGTAAAAACAGAGCCCCAGTGAATCTCTATGGGAGACCTTTTAGAAGGGTGGCTGTGGTTGATGGAGGCTGGCTGCTCAGGTCTTCCCTTCTGAGAGCCCAGCCAGCTGATTGACAGGCTCTGGCTGCAGTCTTAGGAGCCACCATGGCATTTACTCTGGGGCCGTGCTCTCTGGGGCTGCTCCCAGTCAGGGACTGCACATGGTGGAGTATTAGAACTGGGCCATTCCTGCCCCGCATGGGATTCTTCCTGCGGGTGACCTACACTCGAGAACTCTCCAGGGGCTGGCTGAGGCAGTCTGAAGTTCCTCTTACCCAACCGTCCTTCCCTCCTCTCTTTCCTTCCCTTCCTCCCTCCCACCTCTCTCCCTTCTTCCCTCCTTCCTTCCCTCTTTCCTTCCTTCCTTTCTTTTCGCAGGGGTTAGTCCACAAGCTCTCCCTGTCTCTCCCTGCTCGCTACCCCTTTATCCGTCACGTGAATTTCCCCACCAAATCTCTTCCGGCTTCTGCTTTTTGGATGGCCTGAACTGATGCAATGGCCATCCCTTACCCATTCCTGCTGCCCTTGGTTACATGGGCCCCGACACTCGAGTTGGCAGCCTTGCCAAAGTGAGTTTCACACTGGTGACGTCTCGTTACACTGGACAAGAAGAGCTCAGGGTAGGAGGGGTCATAGTATGCCTTAGAGGTGGGGTGACGACAGAGCCCTGGCTCTCCCGGCGTGAGCCCGCATTACTGTGTGGATACCAGGCCACTATCGCTCTGCACCTACCTCACCGCCACAGAGGGCAGACTCCGTCGAACCTGCCTCTTTGTCCCCAGCACTGGGCACAGCGCCTGGGCCACAGTAATGAACTGAAGTAGCACAGAGAGTGGAAGGCAGGAGCCGGGACTGGACCCTGTGGTCCTGACAACTGATCATCCTCACCCACCTGACCAGAGTCCTGTACAGGGGGGTGGGGGATGGGAAGGCACCCCCAGTGCCTTGGCTGCTATGGGCCAAGGGAGGGACTGCCTCAGCACAGATGTGGAGACCAGCGACATCCTTTGCAGGACCCGCCCATGGTCTGTCCTCTGGTCCAGGCATAGAGGCTGCTGGGGCTGCCACCGGGGTTGCAGCCGTCAGAGAAGACTTTCTCAAGGCAAAATTTCAGCCAAGGTTTGAAAGCTGTGTATGTAGACAATGGGAGGTGCAGGAGGAGGCACAAATGCTGCTTGTTCAGAGGCTCTCTGGAGACAAGCGTGGATGACGCTGAACAGCATGGTGGCTCAGCGGGGAGGCAGGCGGAGGAAGCGCTAATGAATGCTGGAATCCTGAGTTCAGCTGTTTGCCTCTGAGCCCACAGATCCTAGCGACCTGGGGCAAGAGACCATCATGATGGAATTGGAGTTTTAGACATGTGCTTTCAGCCTCGGTAGAGCCAGAAAGTTTTGTGATAACTCGCATGGGGATGAGTGTGAGCGAGGGAGCGAGGAAGCTAGCGTGTGGACAAGACTTACTCTCCCCGACCTGAGGAGCTGGCCACCACCTTGATGACCCACCCGGCACATGGAAGGCGTCTTGATTTTTCAGCCCTCTTCTCCTTACCCTTGGGGTGGAGCACAGGCAACCAAAAGCGGACATGCCTGCTGTGTTGAAGTCCAGGACCCGGAGGTGCCCAAGGGGAGCCTAGAATCTTCCTGAGGCCACACTGGGGCTTCTTTCCAACAAGGCAAAGGAGCCCCAACACCCACTTCACAGAAAGCACCAGACACTGCCATTTACTCTGACGTTATGAATATTTATTTTTTTCTCTTAAAAATGTACAAAAAATAAAATAACTGTATTTATAGTTTATAGATTCCCCTTCTCCCATTTACAAAACTATTAAGTTACATTTGCCTTTTTCTTTTTTTTTTAAACATGAGAGCAAATTGTCCATCTTTCAATCTCCCTTGCTTGTTTTTAAGAAAGGGCCGTTCACAGAATTTGGCACAAACCCTCTGTTTCTGTGGCATTTTCCTAATTTTAAATAAGAAGGAAAATAAACATTTGATTCATTTCACGCTTCGTAAGTTTCTGGGCTGGGACGTGCCTTAGTCGTTCAGGGTCCAAGTCCAAGATGACATCTGACTGCATTTTCCTGTGGGTTCCAATCTCCAGACACCCATGAAGTCTAAGCAGTATGGGTATGTATAAGAAAAATACTTGTTTTGCGTGTCCCTCATCTTACACGGATTTTTTTTAAAGAAGCATGTTTATTTAAGTGTAATAAATTTAAGGGACAAGAGGAGGCAGTTTTTTCCAATCTTTCTAGAGTGTTTCTGCTTAGAAAATCATACTCATCAAAGCTCTGCTGACACACATCCAGGCTGAACCACAGACACTGAGAACACGGAGGGGGTGGGGGGAGGGCGGAGGGCAGATCAGATGGGAGGTGATGCTCTCTCTGCACCACCCTTCAGTGGCACTGGCCTTACATTCTTTGTTCCGCTAGGCGGGGGTGGCCATAATGACGGCTGGGGGACTGGAGACCAAGGCAAAGGTGTCTCTTATTTCATCCTCTGCCTAGGGGAGGGATTTCCCCACCGAGGCAAGAGAAAGAAGGGTAGGGGAACCTGTGTCAGATGCCCCAAATCTTATCTTTTCCCTACTCTGGAGTCTCCGCCCCAGCCCAACAGTATTTGCCATTTTGTCTGCCAGTCGTGTTCCAATCCACCTCCAAGGCAAGGAGCGTGGGAAGTGCAGAGAACGTCACAGATTTCCAACCCTGAATCTGTCCGTCACGTCACGTCACAGAGCTTCAACAGGACCCGACCCCCCCCCCCCCCGGGGCTGGTCCAGGGCATGGCGGTCAGAGCAGGGGAGGGGGGAACAGATGGGAACAGAACTGAATCCAGGATGCAGACCTTTGGCACCACAGGGAGGGGTAACGTGTCCGGAAGACACACAGAAAGGTGTGCCCTTACCACCACCTGGACATCTTCCTCGGCACGGCACCTGCTCTCCGTTCCATCCAAATCCTCTGTAGCCTCAGGAGAAGCAGCTGGGCTGGAAGCAGCCCTTCTGTCCTGCTCTAGGGGTCAGGGGCAGGCGGGGTGCGAGGCAGCGAGCCCCTGGGGAGAGAGTTCCCCGGGCAAGACGTCAAAGTGCTTTACAAACAAATCTGGGCCCTTACAGAGAGCCTGTCCTAGTGCAGGCCGTAGGGCTAGGTATGTGTCTGGCTACCAAAAGGCCCGTGCTTCAACCCACAAGGGCCAACGCAACCCCCCCAGGCCACCTACCTGTCCCTTCAGAGAGAACGGTGGCCCAGGATGGTTCATGATTTCGCAAGTGTTTGGGGAAGCTTAGTTTCTACTCTTGGTCTCCCAGATCATGTGCAGGAGGACAAGGCCTTCTCTCTCCCAGCCCTCCTCCAGGGGCTGCCTTCGGAAGAGCCAGGGCACTCTGGGGGCACCCCCCGTCCCCGTCCCCCCGAATCCAGTCCCCTGGCTGGTCAATTCGGAGCTAAGCTGTTGGCATCGCTCTCAGAACTGCAGCTGGGCCTTTAGGGGGAGCCACTTGAGATGAAGGATGCCCTTGGCAACTGTGGGCGCTGCATGGAGGCCCGGTCCTCGTGATCACCGGGTTGGGCAGCGGCCCCAGCACAGGGCCAGGCCGCCAGCCCCCCCCCCCCCATTGCCCCATGGTCTCTCTGGAAGGCTCCCCAAAGCTGGAGGAGCTGGGGCCTCAGACGCTCTGACTGCTCCCATGGACGGGGCTGTTTGGATAGAGCAAGCGAGGCTTGAGAAGCACATCACCGGAAGACAAGCGTGACGGCTGGCACCCCTGCGGTCACCTGCCAGCCCAAAGGCCACTCCCCTTGTCCCGGCGTGTCCGCGGCAAAGCTCTCACAGAAAGCGGAGTCTCAGCTGCGCGGCTCCCCTAGGCCAGCGGCAATAAACGTGCCCGCGAACCACAGGTAAAATATATTATTGCCATATTATAAACACTATGTACATGACAGCCAGGCGAGCCTTCCGGGTTACTAATTACATGGTGGCTGAGTATCTTCCTGTACAAGGCCTGGCAGCCACTCGCCACAAACCCCCGCAGGTGTTTAGCAGGACGGCCTTCCCCGGAGACGCCTGAAGGCTTCTGTCCACCTGTGACCCCCCGACGGCTGCAGCCGGCGCGCTCGCTCCGACCAGCCGCCCAGGAGCAGCAGAGGTGAGGCGTTCTCAGGCTCTCCGGGCCGAACAGATTGGCTGTGTTTCCCTTAAAAGGGGAGGGCTCTGGACGGTCTCATCCGGGGCCGGCAGTGTCCTGCAGGGCCCCGGCGGGCCTGGACCTTGCGCTCCAGACAAAGGTGGACAATAAATAAGTGTCTGACAGGCCCAGCACGCCTTCCTGAGGGGCGCAGGGCTTCGCTCCAGCGGGAGCCGGTCGGTGGGCCATACACACTGATTAGGAACAAGGAACGGGACTCTGGGCCTCGCCCGGCTCCCGGCACGGTCTGTAACAGCAGTTGTGAGGTGGGGGAGGGGGAGTCTCCGGGTTCTGGGCCGGGGCCTCCATCTCTCCCGGGGAAGAATGCGCTGAGGGCCCCTGCCGAGGGGATGCCAGGACCAGGGCTCAGATTTCCATGAGTGTGATCTTGAAGCCTTCCAGCATGCTCTCCATGTTGAGAATGAAGGTGTCCTCGTTCGAGTAGTGCTCAATGATGTTGTCGTCCATGTTCACCAGGATGCTGCCAGGGGGTAGGGTAGGGGGTAAGAAACAAAGATGCCATCAACACCAAGCGGTGGGCAAGGGCAGTCTCCGGGCTGGGGGCTCCCTTGGCCATTCTTTGGCAAGGGACGCTGGGAAGGGTGGGAGGAGAAAGGAGGTAAGGCTGGAAAAGAAGGCCGTCATAATATCTCTTTCCCCAGAAACCAGTTTGAGGAATGCAAAGCCTCGATTGTCAGAACTAACCTCGTGACTCCTTACTAAACAGGCCTTCAGAGATCATTCAACCCAACCCTCTTGCTTTATAGATTTGTAAACTGTGGCCAGAGAGGTGAGCCTGAAATCACACAGTAAGCCAGCGACAGAGCCAGGTCCCAAACAGTTCCCCATTTTCATTAAACCATACTGCCTCTTGAAAATACACTTTAAAAAAGTACTCCAGGGCCGCCTGGGTGGCTCAGTCAGTTAAGCATCCAACTCTTGGTTTTGGCTCAGGTCATGATCTCATGGTTCGTGAATTCGAGCCCCACATCGGGCTCTGTGCTGACAGGACAGAGCCTGCTTGGGACTCTCTCTCTCTCTGTTCCTCCCCTGCTTATGCTCGCTCTCACTCTCTCTCTGTCCAAATAAGTAAACTTAAAAAAAAAAAAGTACTCCATAGTCAGAAGAAGAGGAAAATCAAGAACTGTGGCTATGCTGTTGAGACTATAATATGTTTCTGGGGCACCTGGGTGGCTCAGTAGGTTAAGCGTCTGACTACAGCTCAGGTCATAATCTCACAGTTCGTGAGTTCGAGCCCCACGTCGGGCTCTGTGCTGATGGCTAGCTCAGAGCCTGGAGCCTATCTCAGATTCTCTATCTCTCTCCTTCTCTGACCCTCCCCTGCTCATGCTCTCTCTCTCTCTCTCTCTCAGAAATAAATAAAACATTTAAAATAAATAAATAAATAAATAAAGACCCATTTTCTGTGTTTTGTAGGAAAGTAACTCCAGAAGCTGACTCAATGGAAACTCTCTCCTGGGACTAAATCCAGCTCCTGCAGCCTCTGCTCGCAGACCGTCAGACAGAGGGAGCCCCAGGGAGGCTGGGGGTGGCAGTGTGGGGAGAACAACAGAACAGTGTGTATAGGGCACTTGCAGGGGGCCCAGAACCTACTGAGCACCTCATAAGAGGTCTTGTTCTTAACACTGAGAATGAGCAGGTCCAGTGATCATGGAGATTGTTTTGTGAATATTCCCCTCAGAAGACTTCTCTACACCCGGAGCCCTTCTTGTTTGGGTGTCACCCTGAAGCCACCCCAAGAGCGGCATGTGATTCTCTATACACTCCACATTGGGCAGAGGTGACTTTGCCACTCTCCCCTGTGTCCTCACCCCTTCCAGACCCTTCTATTCCACCAGTTCACTCTGTCATTGGGATAGGACATCTCAGGCGGCATGATGACAAAGCGCTGTCTCCCTCCCTCCCTGTCTTATTAAAGATCTTCAAAACGCACCGCACTTGCAAGCTGCCCAGCAATCCTTTGTAAGGATGACACACAGGTGTTACCGAGTTGGACAACAGAACTAACAAAAGACAGGCACCATTTTCTTTTTTTTTTTTAAAGGGACTATGTACACTTATCTGATTTGAAAGTCGGCTTAAGTTGTTTCTTTCTTACCCTTTTTTGCTTTTCTTGTAAAGCTTTGCGATCTTCTCCACAGGCAACCCATATTTCTCAGATATCTGTAACACCAATAACAGGCAGATGAGCATGGAAGGGGAGGGTAGGCAGAGGCGAGAGAGAAAGCTCCAGTCTCAGTCTCCTGGGTGCCTGTATCCCTCACTCAGGAGTCAGGCTCCCAATATGCCTCAGCTACAAGGCTCTCCCATGGATAAGCCTTAAGTCATTCAACAAAAGATTCGGCTGCGTGGTAATTTAATCTATGATGAAGGTATCATCTCAGATCAGTCAGAAAGAAAATGGACACCAGCCATGATGTTAGATTAAATAAGTAGCCACACAGAAAAAATCCAACGGGTTAAGCTGGAGCCCTTCTCTACTTCTGACATCGAAATAAATTTCAGATAGAGCAAAGATTCACATCTGAAGGCTGAAACCATAAAAGTATCAGAAGAAACCATGGGTCAGTTCTTTGTATTGATGCCATCTTCAAGGAAGGAAGATCATCCCAATGAAGATATAAAACCTGAAGAAACAAGGTCAAAAGGCTGATCAAACAACAGAGAATCACAAATACCAGTAGAGCAAAACCACCATAAAAAACTAAAGACAAACAACATACTTTGAAACTTTTCTTGTCACACAAACAACAGGAAACCGACTTCCTTAAGTCCGAAAGAAGTACTGCAAATCCAGGAAAAGTCCAATTCCATGGGAAAGGGAAGAACACAACGTGGAGAGGTAACTCATGAAGAAAAACACAAGGGTACAGTAAGGAAATAGAAAAATGTCCCACCTTACTCCTCATTTTAAAATTTCAAATTAAACCAGTAGGATGTTACTTTTATGTTATCAGATTCACAAAAACTAAAAGAATAGTAACATGGTGCCAGCCGGAACGTGAAAAACATCAACTCTCGTATTCCATAGACGGAGAATAAAATGCTCAAACTTTTTGGAGGGAAATTTAGAAGCAGCTCTTAAAGTTTAAAAAGCATATATCCCTTGAACATACATTGCACAGGTGGTAACTTGGTCTATGGAAATACACTCAGATGTATGCAAAGCTTTTCAAACCATTATTGTTCCTAATAGAGAAAATTGTACATAACAAACACTCATTAAGCACGTTTTGGTATCTTCACGGTTGAAAGCCATAAAGTCATTTAAAAATGTGGCAAGCCTATATGAAAAATAAAGTCCTTAACACACGAAGGAGGAAAAGCCAACAAACTGTAATACGATACGTATGGTGTGACCCCATCCATATTTCTAAAAAAATAAGTATGTAAGGAAATAGAAAATATGTGAAGGACATGCCAGTCTGTTAACAGTGGCCACCTTGGGAGAACGGACAGAACACGGAGATTCTTTTACTTTTCACTTTGTACCATTCTGTAGTTGGGTTTCTTCCTCCCTTTTTACAATGATTATGATTCACTTTTACAAATATAAAGTAATCAGAGTTTGGAGACAGATTCTGGAGAGACCTACCCGAAATGCCTGTCATGCCTTCCCTGTCCCAAATCCAATCCACCAGCCTCTTCTGAGCCCCGCGGCTGGGGGAAGGTGGGCGCTCACAGCCAGCTGGGGTAAGTGAGGTCCGGGACAGGGATGACTGGGCAGTGGAGCCCAGGGGCTCTGAAAAGAGGCTGAGGAGCCCTAGGGCACAGGTGGACAGCTCTGGATCCCCAGAAGAGGTTATCCCACAGACAACTATATAGTCCCACCTTTTACCCCTCCCCCTGCACAGGAAGGACTCCTCACCCCCAGAATAAGCCCAGAAGGGCAGAACAGATGGGCCGAAGGCTGAGGGCAACAGGAACCGGGGAAACCAGTGGCCCACCGGCCACGTCACTGCTCCATCACTGATCCAACTGCCCTGTCCCTACAACTGAACTGAAATGTGCCCGGTATGTAAAATAACATGGGCCGGGGGCAGCGAGGAGAATGGACAGTGCTTGCTTTGTAGGCATCCATTTGAACAGGACATAAGAAAACAGTTATGAAGATTGCATGCACACATGTACAATTCTGGTCCAAAAATATGATTGTTGAACTAAAACATTTAAATTTTTTAAAATTTTCATTTATTTTACATTTATTTATTTCTGACAGAGAGAGACAGAGCAAGAGTGGGGGAGGGTCAGAGAGAGAGAGAGAGAGATACACAGAATCCGAAGCAGGCTCCAGGCTCTGAGCTGTCAGCAGAGAGCCCGATGCAGGGCTCGAACTCACAAACTGTGAGATCGTGACCTGAGCCGAAATTGGATGCTTAACTGACGGAGTCACCCAGTCGCCCCTGAACTAAAAACATTTTAAAGTTCAGTAAATGAATTGAAGGACTAGTGGTCAATACCGCAAACCAATAGTATGAGGAAAGATCAATTCGAAAAACAATTTCAAAGTGCAGAGCAAAGGGGCGCCTGGGTAGCTCTGTCGGTTAAGCATCCGACTTCGGCTCAGGTCATGATCTCGCAGGTTGTGGTTTCGAGCCCCGCATCAGGTTCTGTGCAGATAGCTAAGAGCCTGGGGCCTGTTTCAGATTCTGTGTCTCCCTCTCTCTCTGACCCTCCCCCACTCATGCTCTGTCTCTCTCTGTCTCAAAAATAAATAAACCATTAAAAAAATTCAAAGTCCAAAGACATAGAGCATAGAAAGATACGAAAAACAAAACAAAACAAAAAACAAAGAGGGATTTGAAGAATAGAGGGAGGCCACACAAGATGTGAATATCCAGGGTCCCAGGCAGAGAAGAAGGAACTGATGGAGAAGAGGAAACAATTAAATAATAGAAGAAAGACCCGTGGTTTTGGACAAAAGGGGGCTCCTGAACCCAGGAGAGATCAACGAGGAAAGACTCATGCATCTGGCCATTCTGAAAAGTGCCAGATCGCCAAAGGGTAATAAAAACATTCTGAAACCTTTCAGAACAAGTTACCACCCCCACTCCCTCCCCCCACAAAAGAGAATAGAAGAATAAACATGGCTTCGGTCTTCCCATCTACAGCCCTAGAAACCAAAGGATAGTGCCGTAACCTCCATAGACTACTGTAAATAAGAACTTCACCCCAAGAATCCTGGACACCAACAAGCTATGCCTCAGGCATCAGGGTGAAAACAAAGGGTATCGAGGAAATGTAAGGGTTCAGAGAACATTTCACCCAAATACGCCAGGAGGAGCATATTCACAAAAGAACGTTATCTAAACAGAAAATGCATCAGAAGGGAGACATCAGCCAGGAGAAGGGGGAAGACAAGCAACTAGCCTTGTGTCATAAATAAATCTTTAAATGTATACAGGGGGGCCTGGGTGGCTCAGTCGGTTAGGCGTCCAACTTTGGCTCCGATCAAGATCTCACCGTTCCTGGGTTTGAGTCCCGCGTCAGGCTCTGTGCTGACAGCTCAGTCTGGAGCCTGCTTCAGATTCTGTGTCTCCCTCTCTCTCTGCCCCTCCCCTGCTCACACTCTGTCTCTGTCTCTATCTTTGTCTCTAACTCAAAACCAAATAAACATAAAGAATTTTCTTAATGTATACTGACTCTACATATACCCTCTCTCCATCTATATTATATTGTTATATACGTAACTACAGATACACAGTTATCTATCAGTGTATAACTGTGTGTGGGTGTTTACATATGTGGAATGCAGATGCAAAATAATTGCCAAATACAGATTCTCAAAGTAAAAAGGACATAATAAAGGGAGAAATCTCATGGTTTGCTAGAGAGAGAGCATCAAAGTATCTCAGCAACCCCAAGAAGTCGGGAGTTTGTGGGGACGGTGGGGTGGGCACCCCGACACACTCAGGCTAAGTGAGACAAGAAAGCGGCAGGAGAGGGAGAGACCAAGCTCCCACAGCCTCGCCTCGTGGTGGGGGGAGCTACACAGTGTTGGTGCAAAAAATAGCTGGCATTTCATCCTTCAAGTCACAGAGAAATAGGGGCGCCTGGGTGGCTCAGTCAGTTAAGTGTCCGACTTTGGCTCAGGTCATGATCTCACAGTTTGTGGGTTCGAGCCCCGTGTCGGGCTCTGTGCTGACAGCTCAGAGCCTGGAGCCTGCTTCTGATTCTGTGTCTCCCCCTCTCTCTCTGACCCTCCCCTGCTCATGCTGTCTCTCTCTCTCTCAGAAATAAATAAAAACATTTAAAAAAACATTTTAAAAAAATCACAGAGAAATAAGGAGGAAGGCTGAAATAACTGAGGAAAAGTAAAGAATAACTTTCTGGAAAAGGTGGAAAACAGCATGCTAATCCATCTGCCAAGCGAAAGAGACAGCAAGGGGAAACTGCAAAGTAAAATCAATAATAACAAAAAAGTAATACTGAAGAAAGAAAATACAGCCTATCAGTCATTATACCAAATGACAACAAACTGCCTTTTTCCACGGAAAGCCAGAGTGTCAGAGTAGCGAAAAAAGAAGTTAAAAGAAGGATGAGAAAGAAAGAGAACCAGCTGGATGTTTAGCAGGAAAACACTTAGCAGAGGCAAGGACTAAAGAGGGGAAGGCAGGAGGAGGGAGGAGGGCGCAGCAAACAAAGGAGAGCAGGGGCGAGGACATTCGTGTGAGACAAGGCGGGGTGAGCATTAAGGCTGAGGAGGTTAGCATGGGGACTGTGCAATGATAAAAAAACAACACAATGTAGGAAAAGGTGTCGCAACTGTAAAACTTCAGGCCCCCGACAGCACTGAGCACAAATTACAGGTGTCAGGCAGACCTGAAAGAAAAACAATTACAGTGGGAGACGCAGCACACGAAGAAGTCCGCGACTGTAAGAGTACAGGAGTCTCCGTATCCCCAGTGTGCCTTTAGTGCTGGGCACACCTAAGGCAAATAAGAACAACGGAGCACTAGAATCGCTACACTAGATTTAAGATTTTATATAGACACGCACATCTCCTAGAGAAAATCTGTCATGTGTTGGGTCACAAAGATAAGCCAAATCACATCAGAATTCAGTAACATTGGAAATACAAAATTTAAAGTTGCCAGAAATGCTTAATTATTTGGAAGTACGGCGGTCCCCCCCGCCCCCTTCTCCCTGGGAGATACACTCCA